ACTTCGTCTTGGGGTATTGATCTTCTTCCCACTCAACTCCATTGGCATTGAACTTTCGTTCAAAACCAACACCTTGGTTCTTCCGGTGCCTTCCTTGCTTGCGTACAATTTCCTCGAATTGCTTACTCCTGGCAAGGCTTTTGTAAACACCTTTCTCTATAATTCCCTTCAATAAGCTGTTTTCTTGCTCAAGTGTAACTTGGCTAAGAGAACTATTAGTGGAATCAAGAGAACTACTAGAAGCAACAACATTGGATTTAGCATGATAATTGTTGTTACTACTAGAGGAAGAATCTTTCTTGTTCTTGTTACTAGACTTGACTTGAGGCATGTAAGTAGATAAGAGTAAACGCTTGGCAATGTAAGAAGAACTTTTCTTGCGAAGATCATCATTGATAGCCTTTAAAAACTCATGTTCTTGCTCAAGGTTGAGCTTTTCAAAGTGTAACTTCTCACGAGTCCTTAAAAGTTCTCGATGATCTCCTAAGATAGTTTCATGAGCTAACTTAAGAGTGTTTAGTTCTTTAGTTAGGAGCTCAATCTTCTCCTTATCATTGTCATTCGTTTTATCTTGATTAGCATGATTATTTGACGTTTCATCATAGTATTCATCACTAGAGTTGTCAACAAGTAAATCATCATCACCTAGCAAGTCATCTTCATCACTATTGAAATCAACATACTCGGGGTGTAATACCTTTGGCCCTTTAGCCATTAAGCATCTTCCAAGTCCTTCATTTGGTGAGTCAAATATGTCGTAGGAGTTGGTTGACACAGGTGCTAGACCGGCAACACCTTCATCTTGAGTATGTTCTGAGTCGGAGTGATAGCTTCTCTCGGAGTGATGGTCGGAGTCGGAGCCGGATACCCATTCACCAATGTGAGCTTGATGTCTTTGCTTTGTGTAGCTCTTTGATGATTTATCCTTCCTTTCCGAGTCCTTGCTTCTCTGGGATGTTCTTCGTTCTCTACTCCTTCTCTCTCTTGGTGATGATTCTTCTCTTCTACTTCTTCTCTTTGGAGATTCTTCTCTTCCTTTGTAGGGAGTCGTACACTCATTGGAATAGTGTCTAGGTCTTCCACAATTGTAGCAATTACGCTCTCGACTAGAAGATCTTTTGTCATTGTAGGACCTTACTTGGAACTTCTTTCCTTGCCTCTATTCTTGTAGAACTTGTTGAAGTTCTTCACCATTAGGCTCAATTCTTCATTGAAGGTTTGTTTCTCACTTGATGATGTGGGAGCTTCACATGAGGCTTTGTAAGCACCACTTGACTTGTTGTGAAGCTCTTCCTTATCCTTGAGTGACATCTCATGAGCAACAATTCTTCCAATGAACTCCGTTGGCTTGAGATTCTTGTAATTGGGCATCATTTGGATCAGTGTGCACACGGTATCATATTTTCCATCCAAGGCTCTTAGGATCTTCTTGATGATGAATTCGTCGGTCATCTCTTCACTTCCTAAGACGGCAATCTCATTTGTGATGAGAGCAAGCCTAGAGTACATTTCAGCGACGCCTTCACCATCCTTCATCTTGAACTTGTCAAGTTGACTTTGAAGCACATCCAATTTGGATTCCTTGACGGAGTCGGTACCTTCATGCATGTCCATCAAAGTGTCCCAAATTTCCTTTGCATTCTCAAGACGACTGATTTTGTTGAATTCTTCAGGGCACAATCCGTTGAAGAGGATATCGCAAGCTTGAGCATTGTATTGCAGCATCTTCAACTCTTCTGCGCTAGCTTCACGGTTCGGTTCTCTCCCATCAAAGAATTCACCTTGCAAGCCAATACACACAATAGCCCATATGGCGGGGTTATGTCCAAGAATATGCATTTTCATCTTATGCTTCCAACTAGCAAAATTAGTACCATCAAAGTAAGGACCTCTACGGTGATAATTTTCCTCGCTAGACGCCATACTCTCCTAGGTTGTGAAACCAAGGCTATGACTACCAAAAGCTATGGAAATCAAAGCAAATGGAGACCAAAGCTCTAATACCACTTGTAGGATCGAAAGTATGTCTAGAGAAGGGTGATTAGACTACTTGACTAAATAAAAAACTTGCCTTTTCCCAATTTTAATTCTTGGCAGATTTTAGCAACTTAGCACAAGTCAAGCAATCAACCTACACATGCAATTCTAGAGTATAGCAGCGGAATGTAAGACAATTGCATATGAAGGTAAAGGGGAGGAGTTTGAGGAGGCAAATGCAATTGGAGACACGGAGATTTTTGAGCCATGGTTCCGATAGGTGGTGCTATCGTACAATCACGTTGATGGAGACTTCAATCCATGAAGGGTAACGGCTGCGCGAGTCCACGGAGGGCTCCACCCACGAAGGGTCCACGAAGAAGCAACCTTGTCTATCCCACCATAGCCGTCGCCCATGAAGGACTTGCCTCACTAGGGGTATATCTTCACGAAGTAGGCGATCTCCTTGCCCTTACAAACTCCTTGGTTCAACTCCACAATCTTATCGAAGGCTCCCAAGTGACACCTAGCCAATCTAGGAGACACCACTCTCCAAGAAGTAACAAATGGTGTGTTGATGATGAACTCCTTGCTCTTGTGCTTCAAATGATAGTCTCCCCAACACTCAACTCTCTCTCACAGGATTTGGATTTGGTGGAAAGAAGATTTGAGTGGAAAGCAACTTGGGGAAGGTTAGAGATCAAGATTCATATGGTAGGATTGGAATATCTTGACCTCAACACAAATGTAGGTGGTTCTCTCTCAGAAAATGTAAGTTAGAAGTGTAGGCATGTTCTGATGGCTCTCTCCACGAATGAAGAGGGGGTGGAGGGGTATATATAGCCTCCACACAAAATCTAACTGTTACACACAACTTACCAATCTCGGTGGGACCGAATCCTGAAATTCAGTCAGACCGATGTAGCAAATAATGTGACCGTTAGGCATTTCGGTGGGACCGACATGTCAACTCGGTGGGACCGATATGGTTAGGGTTATGGCATAATGTAATCTCGGTGAGACCGATTACACAAACTCGGTGGGACCGATTTTGGTAATAAGCTAACCAGAGAGTTGGTCAGGCAAACTCGGTGGGACCGATTCGCTCATCTCGGTTAGACCGAAATGTTACGAAAGGGAAACAGAGAGTTTGCATTGCAATCTCGGTGGGACCGATCGCTCATCTCGGTTAGACCGAAACGTTACGAAGGGAAACAAAGAGATTACAATCCCATCTCGGTGAGACCGAGATCCCTATCGGTGAGACCGATTTGACTAGGGTTTGTTGCAGTGGCTATGACATCTGAACTCGATGGCGCCGGATAGAAAGAACCGGTGGGTCCGAGTTTGACTTTTGGTTTAGGTCATTTGTGGATCTGAGAAAGTAGTTGAGGGCTTTGGAGCATATCACTAAGCACTTTGAGCAAGAACCTCATTAAACAACACCTCATCCCTCCTTGATAGTATTGGCTTTTTCTATAGACTCAATGTGATCTTCGATCACTAAAATAGAAAATGTAGAGTCTTGTGCTTTGAGCTTGAGCCAATCCTTTTGTCCTTAATATTTTGAGGGGTCCACTTTTCTCATCCATGCCATGCCAATCATTGAGCTTTTCCTGAAATATTTACCTTGAAATAGTATTAGCTCAATGAGCTATATGTTGTTAGTAATTACCAAAACCACCCAGGGATAGTTGCACTTTTAATTTTCTTCAGTAACACCTGTATAAAGGTGAAAGATATAATTTTTGCAACATTAGCTGTGTTGCAGAAAAATTTCTGCAGCAATACCTATATTGCAGAAGTTTCGCAACATGAACTCTGTTGCAAACATGCGAGCGCAACATCATCCATGTTGCAAAGCTCACAATTGAATCTGACGGCTCCCCGCGTTGAATCATATGGCTCGTCAGGTGGCGAATCTTTTAAAAAGATCCGCCTGCCGATGCGTAGCTTTGCCCTAGAAGTATTATACTTTTTTCTCTAAGAAAATATGTGCATGAAAACCGATTTTTTAATATAAAACATACATAGAGCTTTTAGCTTTTTCCTAATTATATGTTGAATAAGTTGAATAATGCTAGACCTACGTGGTCTATCTACGTAATCCTAGGTTATGCCCTTTCTAAACTAATCAAACCCCCCATGATTTTCACGGTGTGGGCCTGGGCCTAATTTTTCAGAGCTTTGCTACATCTACGTAAAATAGCTACGAAAAGTTACGTAACGGATTAGTTGGCAAAATATGATTAGAGGGGAGGGAGGCCCACCCTGAAAATCCGCGGGGGAGGGGGGGGAGAGAGAGATTGATGAGAGCAAGCCACGTCCGCACGTAAGCTGATTTTCATACGATTCTTTTGTAGGTATAGAATTTTCGAATTTTTCGTCCAACCAAACTAGGCCAAATCAGCTAGTACGTAACTTTACATAGGCAAATTACGTAGGCGTAGTTGCAGTTTTGTTACGGTAAGACCCTTATAAACACTGGCGGAGCTACGTTTGGGTCAAACCAGACCGTGGCCCGCCCATGTTTTCTGTAAAAATACAAGTCTATAGGTAGGCCCAGCCCACGTAATGCAACACATGTCCGTAGCACCAGCCCAGCTGTAGCCCAGGTTCAGTCTGGCCCGCCCATAATTCTGCTTGTAGCTCCGCCACTGCTTGTAATAAAAGACTAGAAAACCACTTTGTTCCATCGGTACTTAATTTGGCCAGCGAAGAAAAAAAAATGAAGCACATGAGACTGAGAGGGAGCGCCCAGATGCAGAAGTCAAGAGCACAGTACAGCACAGTAGTACTTTCTCCACCCACGTCGTGAGGGCTAGATCCTAGGCCCTCACTATAAAATGCCCGGTCCTCGCGGCACAACCTCACCAGCCAGCCATCGCCGTCGGCTCAGTCACTCCGCTGCTGCATAGACCACCGCGGTGCATGTCACATGCGATGCGACCGAGCTAGCTAGCTAGCCGGAGGTGAACCGAATTGGAGGCGGCCGGCGGCCAGAGCGGAAGGGATCGATCGAGATGGGCAGGGCGCCGTGCTGCGACAAGGCGAGCGTGAAGAAGGGCCCGTGGGCGGCGGAGGAGGACGTCGTGCTCAGGGCCTACGTCGCCGAGCACGGCACCGCCGGCAACTGGATCGCGCTCCCCCGCAAGATCGGTACGTACTGCCTTGCTGCCCGGCCGCGGACTATGCCTCCCTGTCACCGGGGTGATCAAGAGTTAAATATGAACACGTTGTTGCTGGGTGCAGGGCTCAACAGGTGCGGCAAGAGCTGCCGGCTGCGGTGGCTCAACTACCTCCGCCCCAACATACGGCACGGCGGCTTCACCGACGAGGAGGACCGGCTCATATGCAGCCTCTACGCCAGCATCGGGAGCAGGTGGTCGACCATCGCCGCGCAGCTGCCGGGGAGGACGGACAACGACGTCAAGAACTACTGGAACACCAAGCTCAAGAGGCGCCTGCTCGGCGGCGGCCGCCGCCCCATCAGGTACGCGCAGCAGCCGCGCCTCCTCCTCATGAGCCCCACGGGCGGCGCCGCCTCGACGGCGCTGGAGAGGATGCAGCTAAGCGTGCAGCGGCGCCTCGTCGGCCTTCAAGACACCCCGGGGCTCCCCTTCTACGACAACCTCTGGCCAGCCCAGCAGTCTCTACTCTCTCCTGCCGCTGGTTACTCCGGGTTCTGGTCTCATATCCAAACTAGTACCTACCCGGGCCGCCTTAACGTGCAAGATCATCAGCACGCCTGGGGCAGCAGCGGCGGCGGCGGCACCACGCCGATGTCCACGAGCCCCACCGGCGAGACAGCGGTGGGCGTAGGGAGCTCGAGCTCGACACCGGCAGCAAGCTCTGTGACTTTCGACGGCGACATGGAGGACGAGATCGAGATGCTGCTCCAGCAGATAGGGTGCTTGGAGGAGGAAGACAGCCGCCTGCTGATCGGCAGCGAGGCGGGCAGCGCTGGTTCTTGGAGCTCCTGTTCCACTCCAGGAGTGGACTCAGTGTTCCAGGGCTATGTACAAGGGCACGGGCAGTAGAATTATACATGCAATTCAGACCTGAATATGATCCGTATACTATAGTCTGGTCTATAGGTATGTATGTAAATAAGTATGCTAGTTCATAGCTTCTCTTTTGAAGATCTGGATTGATATGAGTGTATCGTAAATGCAGAACCAATATACAGTACACATATGGGATATCAGTTGATTGCCCTCCATGCATGAAACTCATGCTCACTTCATCAGTTTAAAACCATGGGTTTTCTGGTGAAGCTGCTTTCCCATTGAACATCAGTAAAGTTTCATACCTATCACAGGTACTGGTAGTTAACAGCTAAACAGCAGTATTCTTCCATATATATAGCTTGCATATATACATATCTAAGTATTGCATTCCATATGTGATGTGTAACAGATCTGGAAAACAGCATCAGGTGGCACCTTATAATACAGATCAAATGTTCTTGTATCGATCTATCTATGTGTTAAAAGACCTAAACATAAATACAAATCAGCTGACAAACGAATAAAGAATTGCGGCCATGAGTAGTTATACACTCACCGTGTAGTTCATTACGCGCTTATCTGTCCCGGGCATTCTCAGCTCCCACAGAGAGACAAACAAGACACTCAATCATGCCCCCTCTCAGGAGGAGTCAGGATGCATGCGTACAACTACAAACAAAGATGGTTTTGCACTTCACACTCGTGATCCTTCTCCTTCTGGCGGGCTTCCTGTATTACCAACATTTGCCACTGGCCTCGTCATTATTTGGAGTGTATTACTCTTGTGTAAGAGCTTAGAGCAAATGGCGGCAAGCCATCTGCTGAATACACCTTTGTTGGTTATGAGAGCATGCAGGATTAATGCCAGGATTGAACATGCTCCAGAGATGCTGAACAACCCCTGAAAGCTGTGCAACGTAAGGCTGCTTGAAGTTTGGGAGTCATCTTTGTCGGGGCATGACTTATCGCCATACAATTCTTTCTGAAGCTCAGCCATTCTGCCACTCGATGCGAGCTGCAGTATCCCCCTCGTAATATCAGCTGTGAGTGGAGAACCTAGAGGGAATGCCTGCACAAAGGAGGATCGGAAAAGGCATCAGCAGTGAAATAAAAGCCTGGCATAACACTGATGTCGAGTTATATAAACATTTATACCATCCCAGGATAACGGTGAGGCAGTTATATTAATCATTCATGCAAGCAGCTTGGTAAAGCGAGGCAATCGTATGGATCTTACTTAACGAACTTCAGACAGTTTAGTCTAGTACAAAGATAAAATTCGAGTAAACCAGTTGAAAACCTGATCAAGTAGATTTATCATGTTATTTAATACTTCGAGGAGCAAGAAAGCATTCTATTTCCCAACAGAAAACCAATAATATTTCCACCACTTTCCGCACAAACATGATAATGCATATTCGGTTCCTGACGAACAAATTTAATCTTGCATTCGTCCTTTAGCATGTGCACATCCATCAAGTTCAGAAATTTCAAAGTACAATTCATAGATTGGCTGAAACTATAATCTTGATTAAAAATTTACTCTGATTTTCTGTTTGTTTGAGAGATATCTTGATGGTATGTGAAATTATAAATATAGAAATTTGAGCTACTATGACGATCCTACTAGAAAATAGCGGTGGAAATTGATTCAGCATATAGGATTTAACAGTGCCAGAAATGTGCTACTGTACAACAGCTCAAAAGACGGTACTCACATAACCAAATCCATCGAACCTGTAGATTGGTCCAGTCATAGTGTAGTTGTGGCAATATTTTGAAAGGAACAACTTAAGATATGGTATCTCATCAACAATGACGGCAACTTTTCCAGTTGACAAGGCGTTATTGTATTCCTCGGCAGAGTTGAGCGCAATCATCTTTGATTCATCAATTTTCAAACTTTTCAAAAGCCCAGGCAAGAATGAATCATTGAGGTAGCCAACATAGCTCCCTTTCCTGATAACCTCATCTAAATTGGTAACTGTTGGTTGAAGTTGTTCCACTGTGAGAATTGAGCTTAAACTTGCAGTATAACTCTGCTGCACTATCAGCACCACAAAAAGCCAAACAACTACAACAATTCTTGACAAGTTGTTCTTAATCTTCTCCCTGTGTGCAAATACGAGGGTTGAAAAGGAAAAGTAGAAGACTGATCCAATTTGATTAGCTGGGGTACCTTTGAAATCTTCGTGATTCTCAATACACCAGACTACAAAACCAGTGAAAACAACAAAGGCCCCAGTTCCTAACCAAAGGTCAGCTGTCAAAGGCTTTAGGAATGTCCATGCAGTCTTCTGTCTCCGGTCCAGGACCGGAACCAGCATGCGCACCCCTGATTCCGTATAGGGAAGAGTAAAGTCCACATATGAAGAGCGGTTGGCCAAGATTGTTACATCACCTACCACTGCATCGAATTCCTGTCAGAAACAGATATAATGTGAGTTGAGAAACTTTCGAGCACAGGGTATATGGCTCTACAAGTTTATGCAATAGAAATACATAGTTAGGCTAAACTATTAATCATGATAATTCAAAAGCATTTGTCTTACAAATTAAGAGGGGTGCTGATTATTCTATTGGTTAATGTTTTCTTTACTGCATGCACTTGTGTCATGTCCGAGAGAAAAATAATCCGTACAAGGAGGAATTATATGCTTTTTCTGATTGGAGCTTGTAATTAAAAGTTAGTACTTCCTCCGATCCATACTAACTGTCGCTGATTTAGTACAACTTTGTACTAAATCAGTGACAATTAATATGGATCGGAGGGAGTAGTTGATGAAGTAAAAACCCAGGAAACTGCCCTCTGCTTGGAGCATTCAAATAAAACCACCATGCATAATGATGCAGATCTGTTTGAAATGTACGCTTTTACGCCAATAAGTTCCCTAGAACAGAAGGAGGATGCTTTTAAGACCTCTCATGTAACTTAAGTACAAAAGAAGGAACCTGACCCAATGTGATATAATAGAAGTAAAATTGGCACGGTACACTGATATTTGATGCACATGGACTAAACACATTGTATGGTAGGCTCTCTCTAACAAGTACCCAGATGTAATCATACATGTTTGCACACTAAAGACGAATAATTGATTGGGAGTAAACTATTAGTTTTGTATACTTGAGAAAACAACAAGAAAAACACAAAGTGAATAGTTATTTCTGATCTTCTCAATCATTATTTCCAAGCTTTAGCTGCCCTGTCTAGGAGAGATTGTGTCGAAGCACAAAACAGAGCAAAGAGAAGACAGAAGAGTACATACCTTAAGATAAAGCTTGTAGATAAGTTCATCATATGTTCCATTACTATTTCCTTGCCCGTCATCAAATCCATGGTAGTCATATAGTACTTGGTAGGGTAAATTATCAACTACTTCATCAAAAACTTTGATGCAGAACCCTTTTTTGCCTTCGGGGCCATTTTCATATCTTACAAGTTGGCCAAACCCAGGATTTGCAGGTACACCTATTTGGAGTCTTTTATTCCTCGGCAATAGCCAGCCTCTAGGCACAGTTTCAGGATCTCCTGGCCATATGATGGTGTTAATATCAGACTTCATATTTGGACTACCAGAGATGCCAAAGTTTGGAGTCCAAAAGCCAACTTCTCTTCTGTCCTGACCAACAATGTTGATTATCGTATAATTTGATGATACTAACTGCGTGTCTTCAATACGAAATATCCCGCTCATGCCCGAAAAGTTGACCTTCAGTAGTGCACCTCGCAGTTTTTGAGCAGCCTTTGAAGTATCTATTCTGTCAAAGTCAGTGGACCCATTCTTTGTTACAGACGGCCCAAAGTCTAAATTCACATATGTAGCATTCTCTGCTGCTGATGCTAACGCCCATATGGTATCATAAGCATAGAGACCAGACACTGTGGGTTCACTTAACGAGGTGCCTGGATTTTCTAATCGGTACTTGCTGTGCCATCTCTGTGTAAAGTTTTGAAGTTTCACGGTATCTTGAACATGAGGTTTCACCCCAAGAACTCCTTGCATCACATCTAGAGCCGGAGAACCAACCACATCAAAGATATCTGTCAAGCCATACGCGGTAATCCAGACAAATCCCTGGCCCATCATCCCTTCTTCCTTAGCAAGCTGGAAAAACTTAAGGGCCAAAGCATGTGACATTCGCACAATAAATACACTTGTCCAATTGTGTCTTAAGCTTGAGATGGCTGCCTTCATAGCATCCACTGTAGCTGAAGGATGGATCTTGCACCTGTAAGAGACACGCGTGTCGACTTGTTTGAGGGCATCAACGAGGTCGGGAATGAACTTGGTATTGGTATCATCATCCTCAAAGACAGGGACGACTTCCCTCCAATTGTGTTTCTTAACAAGCGAGGCGATGGCTTCTGCTTGAGAGGAGTCGTTCCATGCGGTCCGGATGAAGTATGGAGTTAGTCCGGCTCGTGATGGGCAATCTGCGGAGAACGAAATGATCGGAACCAATGATTTGTTCCCGAGTCGCGCAAGAAATTTAGCCTGAGTTGAAGTCTGCGGCCCAACGATCGCTTGCACGCCCACATTTTTCAGTAGATCAACACCTGCAATGCTGATATTTCTTAGAAAGAGATTCACAACAGTGGCGCTCATTCATAAGAAGTAAAAAGTATACATGACTAAATTGCTTGCAAATCCGCGGTGGAAAATAAAACACGCAATGTCGGATTTACCCTCAGTAACGGCGCACAAGTAATCAAAAGTTGGAGAAAGCTCGGTTGGCTAAACGGCTCTAATTTTCCGAGTGTTGAAACGCCGAACTCGCCATACTTGAGCTCCAACTCCAATGTCTGCCATCCACCGCATGGATACAATTTGGAACATCAAGAAGGTCATCGAATTGGGATTCAAGTGCTATAGCGCTTTCCAAATCGATTGTAGATGGATGTCGGGAGAAGAAAGAGTAGAGTACCTTGTCTGTGCGCCGCCGGGGCAGGACGAGAAGGAGGCAGGAGCCCAGGGCGAGACCAGCAGCGGAGCTCGGACCGCCGGCGGGATGGGAAGAGAATACTA